AGAACTCCTTCATCTCATGATGTCCATGTAGACGCCTTTTATCAGAACTCCTTCATCTCATGATGTCCATGTAGACGCCTTTTATCAGAACTCCTTCATCTCATGATGTCCATGTAGACGCCTTTTATCAGAACTCCTTCATCTCATGATGTCCATGTAGACGCCTTTCATCAGAACTCCTTCATCTCATGATGTCCATGTAGACACCTTTCATCAGAACTCCTTCATCTCATGATGTCCATGTAGGTGCCTTTCATCAGAACTCCTTCATCTCATGATGCCCACTTAGACACAACTTTCATCAGAATTCTTCTTTCATCCCATGATTTCTATGTAAACACTAAATGAATTTTTTCCATCCCATGGTGTCCTTGTAGACACTAATTGGAATTCTTCCATCTCTTGATGTCATTGTAGACACTAATTGAAGTTCTTCCATCCCATGATGTCCATGTAGACACAGTTTTTTGTCGAAATTCTTCAATCTCTCTCTCTTTGGTATAATTCAGTGATTATGAATAGCTCATTTCCATTTATTTGCCTAGCATTAACTTAAGTTGATAGTATGTTTGTTGTAGCTAAAGGAAATACCACAGCAATCCTTTAACTTTTGTACCTTCCCACTGTTTATATTTATTTCCTTTAAAAGTTTTAAAGTACATTGTTGTTATCAGATAACACTTAGTGTTTTGCATGTTTGTCAGTAACTTGATGTCAATAATTCAGATTTATGACTTTTTATGATACAGCTTTGGGAAAGATCAAATTACTTTAAATTGAACTTTCAAAATTTTGGAATAACTAAAAAAACTAAAAAATGGAATAACATGCATCTGTATATATTAAAGTCATCTGTAAATGTTTTATTTTTCTATTTTAAGATACTTAAATAAGTGAACCTTAATTCATAAGTGACTAGGATCATGTATTCGTATATACTTTATTTTAAGGCTGGAATAATTGAAGAAATGCTAGACGACACTATGGAAAGCATGGAAGACCAGGACGAGCTAGAGGAAGATGCTCAGGAAGAGGTTGATAAGATCTTATGGGAATTGACTGCAGGTGCCTAATTTATTCTTTCTCTTATATATGGACAATATACCTAAAGTTGTAAAATTTACATATTATTTTCCAAATTATGCAGTATTTTAATTACACGTAATATATGAAAATTTTAAACACTTCACACTACCATTTCTAAATCTTACAGGAGAATTAGGGAAAGCTCCTGCTGCAGTTTCTGACACACTGCCTGAACACAAAGAAACGGAAGGAGCATCAGCATTAGTTGAAGACGAGGATGTATCGGAAATGCAGGATCGGCTAGAGGCACTGAGAAACTGAAACTGTTCTAATCGTATTAAACGGAGATAGTTTACTAAAAGGTTCGATTCAGTCATTGTTTTGAAATCTTTTTTTTTTTAAGGCTGTGTAAAACTTTTTATTTTGTTGGTTTTCAGAAATTTTTCATTCACTAGTTTTTCATATTTTTAATAATTATTCTGTTCACAGAATTCTAGTAAAGATTCTTTTAATTTCATAATTAGTGAAAGTTTTCTATCTGGAAATATTTAGTAACTGAATACAATGAAAATGATCATAATTACAGAGCATTCAAGTTAATAAAAAAATTTTTTTTT